GTGCACCCTTTTGTTTTTGCAGCATGAATGAGACAATGTTTCAGGAAACAGGTTCTGCATCAACTTACAAAGAGATACGCAGTCGAGACCCGTAAGTGATAGAGGCTAATTGGTTGGTTTGATGATGTGACCGACCCCCGGTAATCATACTTTTATCTCTTTCATGGGCAGATCGTTCTCCTTGCCGGACTTTGCTGCAGAAGTTCAGGAAGCCATCAGACCAGTCTTGAATGCAATTTATAAGGTGAACCTCGGGTTTTGAAATGGATAATCTCTACCCATCTTTGTTTACGTTGCGTCTAATTAATTCCCTTCTCGGTGTAGGGAGATATTGAGATCTTAAAGAAGTATTGCAGCAAGGAATTGATTGAAAGGTTCACTTCAGAGCGCGCAGCTTTCCAAAGTAATGGGTATTTTTTCGATAACAAGGTAAGGTTTCTGTTCCTGGATCATCCAGGTTCTCTTGAAATCGTGTAAATCCCCGAGCCAATGGCTTCATTTTTTGTTGAATAAATCGTTGTGGCCTTGATGCTCAGCTTCTACATATATCGGAAGTTGAAGTTCAAGAGACAAAGATGATGGGAGAAGAAGCTATTCTCCCATTTGGAGGTTGAGAGATATGCAGAAAATTGGTGTTCAAGCTCTCATTTAAATCTTTATATCTTTTAAGCTAAGCCTAAGCCTAAGCCTCTCTCTCTTCCCCCCTCACTCACTCTGCAATGTACCATTATTTACTCAAATCTTGTTCACTCTTTTGCTTTTCTTCTTTCTCTCTGGAAGAAATGGGTTTTCAATGTTTCCAGGGGATAAGTTTTGACAAATATTTGATTAGTTCCTCATGTCTTTTCAAGGTTAACGAGGTTTGTTCTTCTGTGTTAATGGTCCCCTAAGAGGCTTCAAGTATTTTTTGGTTAGAAAAATAAGAAATACTTACATATGATAATTAATTTTATTTATAAAAAGAAAAACTGATTATTCACTTATCTCTCTTTTGCTATATTCACTAAGTTTTTTGAGCTTCATTTCTCTTTCTCTCTCAATCATGACCATCCTAAGAAAATTGCGTCGTGTCTTGCCTGAGAATTAAGCTTTTCCTTGCCAACGAGCTTGGAAGTGCTTAACCGTGAAAGTCCACAAACTCCGCAGCTCCAAACACGGCACGGTCCATCAACTTCCGTCAACCGTTCAAGCCCCCGACTGGGGAGGAATCATCGAAACAGAGTTCCCCTGTTTTCCTCGTTCGGCTGAAGAGAGGTTGCTTGTTCGAGAAGAAACGCAAAATTGTTGTATATGTCGATAGGCTCTTCAGAGAACACACTGCTCTAACCAATTGGATGAAAGCAGAGATGATAGCCTCACACAACTTGCATTCCTTGTCGTATGTGAAATGTTAAAATAATGATTCGTTTCTTATTTGCTGCTTTTACAAAAATCAGAATCAGGTCTTGGACTTTTGGAATTGGAGAGGAAAACTTCCAGCATTGTACATGGTTGAAGCTACTTTGGTCGACAAGGAATAAAACATGAACAAGTCAAGGCGATTTATTGGTTTTCAAAGGCAGTAA